AGTGGCCACTCCCGGCCACTGCAGCCTCGACCTGCTGGGCTCTGGTGATCCTTCTGCCTCTGCCTTCCAAGTAGCTGGAACTACATGTACGCTACCACGCCTGGCTAATTTTTGATTTATTGTAGAGATGAGATCTTGCCAAGTTGCCCAGGCGGGTCTTGAACCTGTGAACTTAGGCACATAAGCTATTTTTAAAAATGGGGTTAAGTGTAACAAAAGCACCCATGATAGACTAATACAATTAAAAGTTGACTAATCAGAATATCTTTATGTAGGATTCAAGGCAAAATAATAAAAGCATTTTTTCCTTTAGAGCATATGAAATATTACCTAGATCTTGCCTTGGCAAATCAGATCGCTCCATTAAATAGTGTGATCCAGACTTTTCCAGTTTCTGCTCTTCAACAACTTTAATGAGCTCCTCGTGAGTTGGGCAGTGTCTGCTCTGAAGACCCCCAGAGTGGCTGTGTACATCCCATCTATCATCTGACAACTGGGATCTAGAAGGGGAAAATCTGAAAAGATGGATAAAAGAGAAAACCATGAGCACCGATTGGAAAAGAACTAATCATATTTCCTGGGCAGCTGTCAGAGAGATAAGAAATAACTAGCAAAAAAGAGTCCACATGACAACCTAGAAGTCAAGATTCATGCTGCCTGCCTATATGTTAGGGCTGACATATAATATCTCCCCTTAAGGGTTGGTCTGAGGCAGTGTATCTCCTAGCTGTTTAAAAAAACATATCAGCAAATTTACTAAATTATCCAGTGCCATTCACTCAAATTCTATACACTATATTCCCTTTGAGTCCAGATGGATGTATTAGAATCAGAGTATCTTATGAAGATAGAAAGTTGGTTGATGTTGACATCTCTACACTTATTTTTTCTACTCAATTTTAGCAGAATTTATACTATCATTCCTATCCGCTGCCTTTTCTTTCTTTTTTTTTTTTTTTTTAACAGTGTCAGCCAGTTGTGTTTTCTTTGTGGGTGCTCAGGCCTTGACCACCTATGTCTGCAGTGGGTACAGCTGCTCCTTCCACTGCTGTTTCTTGGTCTTCAGGTTCTCCTTGTGCTTGTTGAACCAGTAGCACATGGCACGTGTTTTCATAGGCTGCAGATCCAGGGGCTTGTACTTCTTGCCCTTTTTGAACTTCCTGAGGTTTTCTTTCTGAACCTGGTTAATAATGGTGAGAATACGAGCAATGGATTTGCAGACAACTGGGATCTTTGATGACCTGCAGCTGAGACAGCGCCACCTTCAGGTCGTTCAGCTGTTTCTGCAGCTCCTCCTTTTTGCCACGAAGGTCTCAGGCCTTAATCTTGGCCATTGCTGCACAAGCCACTATCACCTTGGTCACCTGCTCTGAGGAAAAGGAGCTCCTCTGCCTTTTCAATGTCCAAAGTTATTCTTTTTTGAGTTGGACTCTTTCTCTGTCACCCAGATTGGAGTGCAGTGAATGCTCACGGCCACTGCAGCCTCGAAATGTTGGGCACAGGTGATCCTTCTACCTCAGTCTTCCAAGCAGCTGGAACCACAGGTACACACCACTATGCCTGGCTAATTTTTTGATTTATTGTAGAGATGAGGTCTCTCCAAGTTGCCCAGGCTGGTCTCGAACCCGTGGGCTCAGGCAATCCTCTCACCTCTGCCTCCTCAGGCAAGCCCAAGTGGCTTGGAAAAGATGGTGTGATTATATTATTATTATTATTATTATTTTTTTGAGTTGGAGTCTCACTCTGTCGCCCAGACTGGAGTGCAGTGGCCACTCCCGGCCACCGCAGCCTCGACCTGCTGGGCTCCGGCGATCCTTCCGCCTCAGCCTTCCAAGTAGCTGGAACTACAGGCGCGCACTACCATGCCTGGCTAATTTTTTTGATGTATTGTAGAGATGAGGTCTCGCCAAGTTGCCCAGGCGGGTCTCAAACCCGCCGGCTCAGGCTCAGGCAATCCACTCACCTCAGCCTCCCAAAGTGCCCGGCTGTGATTATATTATTGACAAACTGTCACCATTCCCAGAAAGATAAGGGAAGGGCTGCCTTGGAGAACTCTACCAACAGCCTCCAGGCTTGTTCAGGTTTTAGTTCCATTAAACTTTATTCTGATCTTCAGATGGGCAGATCTATCTAACTGCACATTTCTCATGTTGTAGCTTATGCTATAGGTCCAAAAAGCCTATATACAATTAAACAAAAGACCAAAACAATGATAGGTTATAAATATCTGTGTACAAAAAACTGAAGAATGTATGGGGAAAAAAATTAAGAAGAGTTCAATATAAGTAAAGATGTTAGATACCAAAATTTCATATTTCTTACCTTTCCACTCCTGGTTCTTTATTTTTACTGCTGGAACTCTCTGGAGATACTTGGAACTTGTCAGCTGAAAGGTTTTCTGGATTCTGGCTTATAGGGTATTCACTACTTTTCTGTGACATTAATACTGCTTTAAATGAAAAGAGAAAATAAAGAAATATACTTTACTGTTTGTCATGATGGATCATTCAGGTAAGGATATTTATTTTTTTCAAAAACAGCAATCTGTGACAACCAAATTGGTTTTTATTCATTTATTTATTTATTTTTATTTTGAGTTGGAGTCTCACTCCGTTGCCCCAACTGGAGTGCAGTGGCACGCTCCCAATCACCACAGCCTCAACCTGCTGGGCTCCGGCGATCCTCCCGCCTCAGCCTTCCAAGTAGCCGAAACTATAGGCGCGCACTACCACGCCCGGCTGATTTTTGATTTATTGTAGAGATGACATCTCGCCAACTGGCTCGGGTGGGTCTTAAACCCATTAGCTCAGGCAATTCACTCACCTTGGTATCCCAAAGCACTGGAATTACTGGCTGAGCCACCAAGCTTGGCACAAATTGGTTTTTAAACAAGTATATTAGACAGAATTTTATAAAAACAAGTAATGCAACAGAAGCTAGTAAGCAATGGAATTAAATGATTAAAAAATAACAACAATAAGGCCAGGCTTGGTGGCTCAGCCTGTAATCCCGTGCTTTGGGAGGTCGAGGTGAGTGAATTGTCTGAGCCCGCGGGGTTCGAGACACGCCTGGGCAACTTGGCAAGACTGTAGTTCCAGCTACTTGGAAGGCTGAGGCGGAAGGATTGCTGGAGCCCAGCAGGT